TATTTTCATTCATCCTGATTGACACTTGTGGCCCTTTCACTTTGAAGAGTTATGTCTTACTCTGCTGCAGAAAACTTTTCTTCTATTTATGTCATTGTTTCCCCCTGTTTGTGGTTCTTGTTCCCATCTCCTAGGTTTATTTTCACATTCTACCCTTCTTTGTCATTTTGATATTCATTTTAAGAGAGTTTCTTTTTTCAATCTTATCTTTGATCTTATTCTAATATACAGTCTGTCAATTAAATATTTTTATGTTCCAGTAACCCTTTCTGGTTCTCCATTGTCTTGTCTTTTCTTTCTTTCTTTTTTTAATTGTAGTATGTGTATGAGAAACATAATATTTGCCATTTCAACATTCTTCACAAGTACAATTAAGATGTTGTTGCTGTTAGGTGCTGACAATTAAGTACATAAATATAAATTATGTTTATCATGTTCAACCATTACCACTATCCATTTCCAAATTTTTTCATCACTCTTAACTGCAGCTTAGTGTACTCTGTTTTCTTTGTTCGTATCAGACTATTCTTGTTTCTTGGATGTCATGTCTTCTTGAGTATCTTCAAGGTACTAATTAGAATTAAAAACAAACAAACTTTTCCCCTCTGTTTTCAGCATTATCTTTGTCCCTCGGATCCCTCTCTTTTGTGCTATTGGTTTTCCCTTGATGTCATGGGGCTTGTAGTTGCTGAATTATATTTACAAGCGAAGGACCAGATTGATTAATATAGTTGCAAAAGACTTTTTCCCTGCCAGGGTTCTCCTTTTAAAATAGGGCTGATCGCAGCACCTGGGCCTGGTGATGCAGAGAGCTGACAGGGAGGCTTTTCTATGGGGCAGTTAGGCAGGCTGGCAAATCCCACAACTGCCTAAGTAAGGCAAGCTTTCGTAGGGGCTGAGCACTTTGGCACACTTTTCTTCCATAGCTGATGTGGAGGTTCAGAGCTGCTTCTTTCCTACCCTCGGTTCCCTCCCCAGTCATGTTGTGTGCTCTCTTTAAAGGTGGCTAAGGGAGGCAAATGAGGGAGAACCCAGCAGGCTTGATTATTATAGTGCCTAAGGCACTTGACTGCTAACCAGAAGCCTGGTGGTTCAAACCCACCAGCCACTCCTCAGAAGGAAGATGGGGCAATCTACTTCCGCAGTGATACTGCCTCGGAAACCCAAGGAGGGGTCGCTATGTGTTGGGTCTGACTCGATGGCAAACAGCAACAACAACTCTGATTATACTCCTTAACTAGGTTGATTATATAATTATCATCCAAACCAGGACATTTACTTATGAGAATGAAAGGGGGCCTTGTAATTATTTTGCCAAGACAATAGGTATAGAATGGAACTCTCATCCTATCTATAACACATGCTAAATCTTTGTATTTACTTACTCCATATTTGGAGCTCCTCCTGGGTTCCATTAGGAAGAGAATTCTTCCCATTTTTTTGGCTGGAGGTCCCCCCACCGCCCCAAATGATCTTATTTTCTTTCTGCTTTCTAGGCTTTCTTCAAAATTTATGAAACTTCTTTTTGAAAACCTATTTTCTGTCATTCCAGTGGGGCTATAGAGGGAAGGAAAATGGAAGTACACACTCAGTTTGTAATCTTGAACTGGACGCTTTTATTCCACTTTAAATATATGCTGCTTACATTATTTTATACATACTTATATGTCACTTTACTCCTTTTTGGAACCAGGAAAATTTAGTGATAACAATTGTGCAGGAGTGAGTCTATACTAGTATATCATAAATCCCTTGGTGATTGCTTTCATTACTTGAACATCTGGAAGGATCCCATGATTCCTGTGAAATATTGGACATCAAGTCACCGAACCTCTGAGTCATTCTCATTGTGAGTTATTTATGGGGGATTGCTTTCAGTTCCCTCTTCTTGCAGGATGTGACTTTATTGCCAAGAGGGGTTTATAACTCCTCATATATGGTTGTAGCACATGGAAAAATGCTGATTTCTGCAAAGATAATTCAGGCCTAACATAGTCAGGTTCAAGGCAGAAAACTAGCAATTTGGAACCAAGCTAGAATTTTGCAGAGCTTACTGAAGGGAAGCAGATTCTTCTGCCAGAATTAATCTATGAAGATTCAGTTCAGAAACACAATACTTACAGGAAATATAGAAGTAAAAATTTAAACTTAATAATAAGAGTTCAGAAGCAAAACCACAACTTCTTCACTCTAACAAGGTCTTATGGTACAAGAGCAACCTGGATACTCAGAAGGGGAGCCAAATTGGCCTCACACAGACTTGACCGGTTGGGAAAGGGTTATTCTCAACCCCTGGGGAGTGTTGTTACATGGAGATGCTGGACAGGATAGTTCTTACATAACTGATAAGACCCTTGGGGCTCGGAACACTTAAAACTAGATTAGCTGCCATAGAGTTGGTCGTCAGTCATAGTGACTCCAAGTACAAGGGAATGAAACTCTGTCTGTTCCTGCACCATCCTCACAATGGTGGTTGCAGATCAGACCATTGTGATCCAGAGTTTTCAATGGCTGATTCTCAGGAATAGATCACTGCATTGTTCTTCCTAGTCTATCTTAGTCTGGAAGCTTTGCTGAAACTTGTTCAGCCTCATATAGCAACAGACAAGCCTCCACTGACAGACAAGTGGTGTCTACACATGAAGTGCATTGGCTTGGCTTGGAATTGAAACTGTGTCTCCCACATGGAAGTCGAGAATTCTACCACTGAATCACCAATGCCTCACAAAACAAGGTGTAGAACTATAGACTTCTACCTCTGGATATGCTTCATACAAATGTGAAAATTTAAAAATGGTTATCATCTGAATGCATAAGTTCTAAACTAAAGTTAACTATTATGCAAATTAGCATTTCTCATTTTACAGCTAAAGTAATTTTATAAATTTCATGCAGCTTGCCTGTAGGCTAGGTTGTTTTTGCAGTGCGGAAGAGTGCACCACCTCTCATTCCCAGTAGTATCCATTGTCTTCCTGCAGCAGTTTTACTGCTCCTGGGTTAAGGTGTGGTTGTGTAAATAAATTATCTTGCTTTTTAAACTCTTAAGTCCTTTCACCCTCAAAGTACCATTTCGGGCTTTAATGTTTTTGCTCTTTTTGGAGCAATCAGCAAGAAAGAAGCGATGGTGTTTTCATAGCTGGTTTCAAAATGTTTCTTTTAAATGGTTGATTGGTTGAGAAGTTGCTTCCTAGTGGGTTTTTGGATTTCAGGGTTATACACAATAGGGGCCAACCCACTCAGGTGTTAGCTGTTGTCATCTGTCCAGTATTGTTCCTATCAGTAATCATGTAAGCTTGACTGGAAAACAGGAACAATCACAGGGAACTGACTTTATTAGATAAGTGGGAAAGAGACCATGTAGGTGATGGCAAACAGATAAAATACTCTACAAAAAGTATAGACTTAACCAGAGCCAAAGAAAAGATGTCATTTGTCAGGAAAAGTTTTGAGAGGTGATATTCACACTTGTGATATTCACAGGTGATATTCACCTGTGGCATGAGCCACAGGGCTGCAGAGACATTGAGATTCCTCCTGGACTTTTGGGAGAAATGACTTCTTAAAGTGCATGGTGCCTAACATATGGGAGTGGGTGCTCTGCCTCCTCTTCATCTCCCTCATCTTTCTTCTACTTACAGGACGTCTGTGCCTTTCTTTCCCTTTCCCCATTCCATCGTCTGTGCCTTTCTTTCCCTTTCCCCATTCCATTGCTAGAATGTGCCTCCAGGTTACTTTCTACTCTCCAGTGTCCTTTATCACTATGATTGTGCCTTTTTTTTTTTTTTAATTGTGCTTTGTGTGCAAATTTACAAAGCGAAGTTGTTTTACATTCAACAGTTCATGCACATCTGATTTCACCACCCCTATTACCATCCCCAACCATAAAAAACTCTCCTCCCCTCTCCTCCCTGTGACCACCATCTCCCTGTGCCCTTCTTATCTATGCATTCCTGTCTGTCCAGCTTTCCCTCTATGTGAATGCTACCCCTCTGGTGTCTCATGGATTGTGCCTTCTTTAAATACAAACTCTTATTCATATTCCTACACCTTTTGCCACCTGTCTCTTACCCAAGTAGAGAACAGAATTAAGGGAATCCCTGGTGAGATGCTCAAGTCACTTACCATGACAGTCCAACGCTGACAACTGGTAATTACTTTGCTCACTTTCTTCCCAAATCTTTCCGTACTCCATCATTTAACAGTTGTCAATTCTATATCCAGTTAATATGGAGGAAGAACTTGTTACCCTTACTACAAAAACATGCTCTGCTGGTGTTTCTGAGACATTTTTTTTTTCCTGCTGCAAACTTTTATTTCTGCACTGTCATTATCTTTGGACAAATTTTTCTTTATGCATTGTTATAAACTTTGGGGTTATTTTTATCCTTTCATATTATTATTTATATTAACATTTGCATTTGCATTCAGAAAAGATTTTATTTTTTGGCTATTATGGCTAAGGACAGTTTTCAGTCTCCTCATTTGGCACTCTTCTCAATTTGTCTAGGTACCTGTCTGGGTTGTTGAGAAATATTATCTTTGGCTTAAAGACTAAAATGTCAGTGACCTCACTGGCCACTTCTGTGTGGTTTTGTTTGGTTGTATTATATTTTGTGACTTTGTAGCAAAAAGAAAAAAAATATTTCCTTCTCAGGGTGTCATTTGACTTTCAGTCATTTCTTCTTCTTTAGGAACAACTTGAAGTTAAGAGAAAGGATCTTTGTGGAGTTGAAGGTACTTAGAAACTGGAGACATAATGTTTTGCTTTATGGCTGGCATCAGAAAGACAATGAGAAAAATTTCAGCTTTCCATTTGGGGACTTTCCAACACATGTTCCAACATTTAGGCTGGAAAAAGCCCATGCCCTTCAACTTTCAAAGGAAAGAATTCTAACAACCTTAACAACAATCTAAGTAACCTAAATGATGTTAGTTTAATGAGTTATATGTTTCTATGGGTCTAAAATTTCATTTAATACCTGATTTCTCTTTCTCTTTAGAAGTGGAGCGGATAGTGAAAGCCAATGACCGTGAATATAACGAAAAGTTCCAGTACGCAGTGAGTACAGTACAGTATACACTCATGCTCGAATGGGTTTTACCTTAAGGATAGTGGTATTCGTGCCTTTGAGAATTTTATGACCTCACTAAAAACTTTCTTTATTAGCTTATTTGAATAGCAAGATGTCATATGCTTCTATAAACACAGATTTTGATAAGATATGCATATGCTGCAGGGCATTTGTGATGGCTTATTTGAGACTTAGTTCTCTCTTGCACTAAGAGTGGCTGGTATGCTTATTGGGACTGATACCTTTTCTTAAGAACTGGGCCCATTTGGATACTAGAATACACAAGAATAATATGAAAATGAGCCTTTGTGGTAGAGTTTTGTGATGGAAATGGTGGTGGTGGCTGATGGGTGATGAATGACATTTTGGTGGCTTTTCTACATACCTCAGACTGAATGTGGGAAAGAATATGTAGAAAAAAGTTCCAAAGACTCTAATGATCTTTTCAAAGTGAGAAGTGAGAGTGATTAGTTTAAATGCAAGGGATTTTAAGCGTCTACTGAACTATTTTTTCGAAGTGAGGGTTTTTGTATATATAATTTGTTTATATAATGAATATTTGTTGAGTGTCAACTATATGACTGACTCTGAAACTTGAGATACATTAATTGGTGAACAACTTCATTAATTATTTCAAGGACTTTTGTGAAAATCTCTTCATCCTTCTATGGCTTGACCTAAATTGTTGCATGGAGTCTTCTGTAAACTCTTGTGTAGATAATTGGTGGAATTGATTCTGCACATATTCATGTCTTAACAATTACCATTTCTGTTGATAGATAATGCCCTTGATTACTAAACGTTTTGTATGTATTACTCCCCATTGTGGGACTTTATAATTTATGCTCCCATCTCTACAAGAATTTGGAAATAATATTGCCCTTTAAAAGTTAATTTATAAAATTGGTTAGTAAATGATTGGAGCAGAGATTGTAACAAATGCTAGTAAAAGAGCAGAATTGCTTCAAGTCCTATAAGACTGTCCATAACATTGACTATATAAGCACTGCCTAATGAAAGAAAGGAGGAGAGAAAACTCAGGCCTGCCCAGAGTAGCAGGACAGAAGAGGAGGAGAAAGGGGATAAAAGCCAGGAACCCAGACAGAAGAGCAGTCAGCCCCAGGGTTACAGGTGAGGAGAGACAACTCAGG